TTTGCTTTGAAGATATGGCGTCATTACTTGTATGGTGTGCATGTCGACATATTCACTGATCACAAGAGCTTCAATATGTGCTTACTCAGAAGAGCTTAATCTCAGACAGAGGAGGTGGTTAGAGTTACTCAAGGATTATGACCTGAGTATTCTTTACCACCCAGGTAAGGCTAATGTTGTTGCTGATTCTTTGAGCAGGTTGTCTATGGGTAGCACCGCCCATATTGAAGAAGGAAGGAGAGAGTTAGCAAAAGAGTACACAGACTGGCATGCCTGGGAGTCAGATTTACAGATTCTGCAGAAGGAGGAATAGCGGTGACGAGCAGGGCCGAGTCATCATTAATGTCAGAAGTGAAAGAGAAGCAAGATCAAGATCCCATTTTGCTCGAGTTGAAGGAAAATGTTCAAAGCAAAGAGTATTAGCTTTTGAACAAGGGGGAGATGGTGTTTTGAGATTTCAAGGTAGATTGTGCGTACCTATGGTAAATGGACTCCAAGAGAAGATTATGGATAAAGCTCACAGCTCCAGATATTCTATTCATCCGGGTTCCACCAAGATGTATCGTGATTTGCGTGAAGTTTATTGGTGGAATGGCATGAAGAAGGGCATTGCTGAGTTTGTTGCTAAGTGTCCAAATTGCCAACAAGTGAAAGTTGAACACCAAAGGCCCGGTGGTTTGGCTCAGAGGATAGAACTTCCAGAGTGGAAGTGGGAGATGATCAATATGGATTTCATCACAGGGTTGCCAAGGTCTCACAGACAGCATGATTCTATTTGGGTAATTGTCGACCGAATGACAAAGTCAGCTCATTTTCTACCGGTAAAGACTACCAATACAGCAGAAGATTATGCCAAGTTGTATGTTCAAGAGATAGTGAGACTTCATGGAGTCCTAATCTCCATTATTTCAGATAGAGGTGCACAGTTTACTGCACAGTTCTGGAAATCTTTTCAGAAGAGCTTGGGTTCAAAGGTGAACTTAAGTACTTCCTTTCACCCTCAGACTGATGGGCAAGCAGAGCACACTATTCAGACCTTAGAGGATATGTTGAGGGCTTGTGTAATCGATTTCAAAGGGAGTTGGGATGATCACCTACCTCTCATTGAGTTTGCCTGCAACAACAGTTATCACTCTAGCATCCAGATGGCTCCATATGAAGCTCTTTATGAGAGAAGATGTAGATCTCCTATTAGATGGTTTGAAGTTGGTGAAGCACAGTTGATAGGACCAGATTTAGTTCACCAAGCTATGGAGAAGGTGAAAGTGATTCAAGAGAGGTTGAAAACGGCACAGAGTCGTCAGAAATCCTACACCGATGTTAGGAGAAGGGCGTTAGAATTTAAAATAGACGATTGGGTATATTTGAAGGTTTCACCCATGAAAGGCGTTATGAGGTTTGGTAAGAAGGGGAAACTTAGTCCCCGGTATATTGGACCTTACGGCATAGCCAAGAGGATTGGCAATGTTGCTTATGAGTTGGAGTTACCACAGGAACTAGCAGCGGTTCATCCGGTATTTCACATCTCCATGTTGAAGAAGTGCATAGGCGATCCTTCATTGATCCTGCCAACTAAAAGTATTAAGATCAAGGATAACTTAACTTATGAGGAGGTTCCTGTTCAAATTTTAGATCATCAAGTTCGTAGGTTGAGAACGAAAGATGTAGCCTCAGTCAAAGTCCTATGGAGGAACCAATTTGTTGAGGGAGCTACTTGGAAAGCCGAAGAGGACATGAATAAGAGATATCCATATCTCTTTGAATCCGGAGGAAATGCGGATTAAGGTATTAATTTCCTTCTTAGTGCCCTTTTTATTTTATTATGAGCATGTCGTTATTGTTGTTGCGTTTGCATGGTTGTTTGTTGGGTGTTAAGTTGATGTTACACCCTTAGCTTTGTAAGACTAACCTCATTCGAGGACGAATGTTCTCAAGGGGGAGATATTGTAACATTCGACAATTTGAAGTGGCTTTGAAGAAGCTTGAAATTTGGAAATAGTCATTTTTGGAAAAATTTAAAATCTGGAAATTTGGCAGTCCAGAATCTGGAAAATTTGGCTAAGTTCAAAAATCTGGAAATTTGGCTAAGTGTAGAAATCAGTGAGTTTTTGGCCAACTTTGAGCAGTCGTAACTCCTAGCTCAGGATGAGTTAGGAGTAGTTCCAGTTATGGTTTCGAAGCTTGTGGAATGATCTTTCCAACGCCACCGAGTTTGCTCGATTCCGAGTTCGTATGAGCGAGTTATGCCCTCTGAAAGTTGGGGCAGTTGGCAAGGAGTCCGTCCGGAAAATTTAAGGGCATTTTAGTCTTTTCACAAATCATTTCTTTTGAGCTTATATTGTTGTATTAGGCTGATCTTTGGATCATTTTGTCCCATTTTGAAAGAGAAAGAGTTAGGGTTCTTGAGAGTGAAGAAGAGAAGAAGAGAAGAAGGAGAAGAAGAAGAAGAGAAGAAAGAGGAGATCAACAAATTCGTCAAGATCATTGTGGATTTTCGTCGGGGGTGATCCCTATCATGGTATGTGAGTTCTTTGTGTGGGTTGATCCTTTCCCCAACTCACCAAGCTTATGTTTATGGTTTGAGAAAAGATTGGATTTGTTGTTGAAGTTGTTAGTTGTTGTTGATGTTGTTAGTTGTTGTTGTTGAAGTTATTGTTGGTTGTGGGATAGGATTGGGCTGTGTATTTGAGTTGTGATCTATTGTATGTTAAGAGATTGATGATCCTTAGTGTTGGTTGGTTCATACCCCCACACACCAACTCGTTTTTAATTCCAAGAGAAGATTTATTGGTTGTTGAAGTTGTAGTGGTGTTGTGTTGAACTTCTTGCTGGTTTAGTACAGATTTCTGGCTGTGATTTTTGAGTTGAATCTATTGTATAATAAGGGTCTTTATGATTCTAAGTGTTTCTGCTAAACCCTTGAGGTTGAGAGGGTTTAGAATTGGAAATAAACAAGGGGAAAAAAAGTCGGCTTTTTGGGGAAAAGGGGCTGGGCTGTCGCACCTCTCCTAGTGCCAAGGACACCAATCCTTCCCTTTCATTCACCATTTTTTTCATACATGTTCCTAGGTATTATACCTATGTTTTCTAGTTGTTTCCAACACTCCAAGGTACTTCTAAAAGTCAAGTAAAACTACAAGTCAAGTGAAGTTAGTTTCCAATTCAAGTGAAGTTAGTTTCCAAGTCAAGTGAAGTCAAGCTTAGAAGTAAGTAAGTCAAAGCAAGTCTTTAAGGTTATCCAAGAGTCTTCATTGAACGTTTTTAACTTCATTCTAAGGCTCAAGTTCCAAGTTAAGTATTGAGTTTCAAGTCAAGTCAAAAGTTAATAGTTTCATGTTAAGTTAAGAGTTTCACATCAAGCCAAGAGTTCAAGTAAAGTAAAGAGTTTAAATTTGAGTTCTTTTCTCAAAGTTATTAGGGAACTATGTATTCCCAAAGAAGTTTAATGTTTTTACATTTAAACAAGGTTGGAAACTGAGATTTCCAAAAGAGCCTTCGGGCTAGTTTTTGAGTAATTATCTCATATCAGCAGGAAGAAATATGTTTCAAAAAACATAAGAGCCAGTACATTTTTGGGAGTAGTATCGAGCACCGAATTGGGGGAGCGTTCAAAGAACCCACAGCCCCCATAGAACCATGTTAGCCACCATGGGTAGAAAATGATCATACTTTTTAGATGAATCCTTTTCAGATTAAACTAGTGGATCCATTAGGCAGTTCAGGTGTTATACCTTTGGCCGGGTATAAGATGCTCTGGCAGCGTGAGGTCGATTGATGTATCATCAATATAGCCCTTATGTGATGGTTATCGGTTAGAGAAACTCCCACAACAGTTATTGTATTTTCATACACAGAGATTATTGTATTTTTATATACATCAGTTCATTGTATTTCTATATACATTTCAGGCTTATTGTATCCTTGTATACACACATAGTTTATAGCATGTTTTAAACAGTCTTTCTTTATATCGCACTTGTTTTAAATTGCCTTATATTGAAAGAAGTCAGTCAGGTTTAGTTGAGTTGAGCCAGGTAAGCTATTCAGTTTCTTCCCAGATTTCCTTCTAGCCTTTGTTGCTTAGTTTTCCAGCTCGCCATACTCGTACATTCCATGTACTGATGCCAGTTGGCCTGCATCGTTTGATGATGCAGATTCAGGTACCCCGGATCAGCATTCTGTACGTCGTTGATCCAGCTGAGCACTCCAGAGTCAGTGGTGAGCCTCCTTGCATTCCGGAGGACTCAATTATTTTGTGTTCTTAGTTTTTTTTGTTTTATTAGGATGTTGCGGGGTCTGTCCCAACATCCATCTCAGTATTTTAGAGGCTTCATAGACAGACAGTCAGTCAGTTAGTTTTGAGTCTCTCATCTATATATATATATGTAAATATTCTATTTTGAGATTCGAGTTGCCTTTATGTCCATATTTTATAAGTTAAGTTGTTTTCTAACCTTGCATTAGCATTGAGTTATTCTGTTGGGTTAGGTTTCCGCTGAGTTAAGAAAGCCAGGCCAAGGGTTCGCTTGGGGCCAGAAATGGTCTCCGGGTGCCGGTCCCGTCCAGGGTGTAGGCTCGGGGCGTGACAACTCTATCCTATGAATATACAAGGTTTCAACCAAGTATCTAATTTACTTTTCCATATGGACGCAACTAAGAAAACAAAAGCAACCAAGAACACAAAGTAGATTGCAGTCACACTTGGCATGGAACAAAATATCAATGGGAAACGACATCCATGTTATATATAATGTGTAGAAAAACGACAAAAGATTTAATTAATATCTTGGAAAAAGGCTCAAATATCGCCATCAAACTTTGAGAAAATGTTCATTTATGCCATTCATTTAAAGTTTGCCTCATCTATGCCATTTTTGTTTGAGAAAAGGCTCATCCATTGAAAAAAGTTTCAGTTTTGCAAAACCATTTTTGACACGTGATCAAGTATGATTCGGTCATTTCATTAACTAAATCAATTTTTAAAAGTAAAAGGCTCAAATATGCCAATTCGAGAAATAGATTTTGTAATAGTTGCTTCAGATGTTATTGGTAGACACATGGATGTTGCTGAAATAAAGGAGAAGATTTTAAACATGAGAAGGGATGTTGTTCTGTGCACCATTTCCATAGTGGGTATGGGAGGTTAAGGGAAAACTATTGTGGCTAAGAGGACTTTCAACGACAAACACATGCATCAAGCAGCAGTTCGAAAAGAGAGTTTGGTTGTGTCTACCTGAAATGTCATAAACGAAGATCTTTCTTGAACTGATTCTCGAATCACTGACAAAGAGGAAAGTTGAGCTCGAAGGCAGGGATATAATAGTCAAGACGCTACAAGATAAACTGGCAGAAAAAAAAGTATTTGCTTCTCCTGGATGATTTGTAGCGTGTTGACTCTACATCATGGCTTGAGTTCATTGACACCTTGAGAGGAATAAATACATCCAAAGGAAACTGCATTCTCGTGACTACTCATATGAAGAGGGTGGCATCCACAATACCAGTAGATCTTCATATGTTGGGAAGATTGACAAGAGATCATTGTTGGTCCATTTTTAATCAAAGAGCATTTGTTGATGGGGAAGTTCCAGAGGAAGTAGTGAGCATGAAGAACAGGATTGTTGAAATGTGTCAAGGTCTACCATTGGCTGCAAGTGTATTGGAGGCCTCTTACGCAATAAGTAAAAACATGAATGGCAGGCAATTCTTGAAGACAACCCCCTTGTTGCAGGTGAATATGATAACGGGAAAAATAGCTTAAAGAAAATCCTAAAACTCAGCTATGATTATCTACCATCTCCACATCTGAAAAAGTGTTTTTGCTTACTTTTCCATTTTTCCAAAAGATTTTGTGTTTGAAAAGGACCAACTAATCCAATTCTGGATGGCGGAAGGTTTTCTCCATCCATGTCAAGAGACCACTATGATGGAAGACGTTTGGAAAATTCCTTGCTGCAATTATATATAACATATGTTTGGAAGACCACTATGATGGAAGACGTTTTCTCCGTCCAATTCTGGATGGCAAAAGATCTTTTCAACTTGTATTGCAAAATGCCTTGCTGCAAGATATTAAGCTAGATGAGCACAAGAATATAACAACTGTAAGGTGCACGATCTTGTGCATGATTTGGCTGGAGGTATCTTAAAATCTAAACTATTTGATCCGAAGAGCGTTAGAGGAGAAAAACTTTCTCAAGTTCAATACTTTGGATGGGACTCTGATACGCTCAAATTACACCTCCTTTCAGAAGCATAAGCGATCGTTATCAAGTAAAGAACCCAACTTGTAGGTTGGGATCGATCCCATGAGGAAAATGGTTTAGACTTTACTTTTAACCAACAATTATATTCGATTAGTCAAATTATTTCCAGAAACAGGTAATAAAAAGGGGGGTTGTGCTTGTGTAAAACAAATAGTAAGACTTAATATTGTAATCAATAATTAAATTCAACTTTGGTTGTTATCAAGATAAGAGAAATAACTAGGGTACGCGTGTTTCCCATAATCTCATAACGCAGTAATCCTAGTAATAGCAATCCTTTTCTAGTGTATTACATACAAAGTGATAAGTTAGGTATCTCTAAATCCTTGGTCCGGCATCTAGAGAATTTCACCCCGCACCTTGGTCCGGCTACGTGTGTATAATTTACTAACCCTTACCTTTACCTCATATTAGACATCATAATCGATGTTTGGCTTAGTTATTACTTCGCACCAATCGACACTAGCCTATTAGATAGTATCACACTAAATCTATGTTGATAATTCTTTTCTTGTTAATTACCTCCTTGGTCTGGCAAGTAGTAACAAGGCGAGTTCTAACGTTGGCCACCGTTAAAAAGACTTCTAAACGAAAGAATTATCAATGCATGCAAAATACTAGTCAAGAATTGCTTATTTACTATTCATACTTTGTTAATCGATCATGGTTCCCACAACCCTAGTTGTGGATTTAGTTACTCATATTAGCAAAAACACAATTCATAATCGTAGATAGAGAAATCATGAACTTACATCAAGAGAATAGTAAACCCAAAAAATTAACTTGAATTGCAAAGCCAAAATCTTCAAAACGAACTTGGGAAATCAATAAGTGCTAGGGTTGCAAATTAATCTCCAAAGTTACAAAGAAAAAATAGAATAATAGTGTCTATCCCCCAAAAACGAGGTTTACATGTCCTATTTATAGAAAACAAATCCTAAATAAAAAAGGAAACAAATTAAGGAAAGTTTTGTTCAGGTACGCGTCTTCGATCCACGAGACTGACTTACGGACCGTCGATGGATCTACGGTCCGTAAGTCCCTTCCATCACTCGGGACTTAGAAAATATTTCAGCATCCAACAATCAGCTTCTTTGAAGCAAACGACGGACCAGCAGCACGGACCGTAGATCGACCTACGGTCCGTCAATCCCTTCCGTAGCTCCATACTTAGCATCTTCAAAAATTAGGTACTGGAACCCTCACAGTCTCACTCTACGGATCAACAGTACGGTCTGTAGATCAATCTACGGACCGTCAATGGGCACCGTGGTTCCACCCTTGGTCAGATTTCCCTGATTTGTCCTCAACACGTTCCTGCTGATCTACGGTCATCACCTACGGACCGTGAATGGACCTACGGTCCGTAGATGACCTCCGTGGATGCCTTTTTCTGCATTTCCTTCAGCTGTCTCTAAACTTTCGCGCCTGAACACCTTTCATGCAAAACATGATAAAATACATAAAAACCAATATAAAAAGGCCCTAGACACACACAACTTGTAAGTGAAATGTATTAGAAATACCGTAAACTCACGGTATATCAGACTCACCAAGGGATCAAATAGATAAGATAAATGAGCCAGAACGTTTGTGCACACTGTTCTGGAGAAGCAATTATGTATCTGAAGATATGCTATTGAGCTTTAAGTTCTTGAGAGTTTTAAATTTTTCCTGTTCAGGAATCAAGGTGTTGTCATTCAAAATTGGCAAGCTAATATCTTGAGATATCTTGATATCTCCGATACCATGATTGAAGTCTTTCCCAAACATTTGCAAGCTCTACAATTTGCAAACATGTAGAATCAATAGCTGTTTTTCACTCAGGAAGCTTCCAGAAGAAATGGAAAATATGACAAGTTTGCGACACATATATTGCAACTATCATTACAAATAAAAGATTTATTTGGGGATCAAGGTTTATTTATCAGTTTCACGTGCCACTTAATATGAGGCAATTGACAAGTCTTCAGACGCTACTTTTTTCTATGTAGGTTTAGGAAAGGTTGTCAAATAGAAGAATTAGGTCGTTTGAAAAACCTTAGATGTGAATTGACAATCAAACGTCTCCAATTAGTCATAAATAAAGAAGAGGCTCGAACAACATATTTACAGAAGAAACCAAATATCTACAAGATGGCATATTTATGGTCCCATGATGAATTGGAAGGCTGTGAGATCAATGATGAGCATGTATTAGATGGTCTTCAACCGCATCCAAACTTCACTAAATTTCCTTCATGGTTCACTAAAGGATTGTTACCAAATTTGGTGATGTTGAAATTAAGTGGTTGCAAGAGGTGCAAACATATTCCATCGCTTGGCCAAATGAAGTTCCTTCGGCATCTTGAGCTGCTAGGAGTCCTTGAATTGTAATCCATCGGCCGACATTTTATGGTGTTAATGTTAATGATAATGGATCAAGAAGCAACAATTGCAATATATGTTGGAAGTGTTCTTTTGTTTAGGAATCATTTATTTAATGTTTGTTGGCATTTTTATTTTGTTGAAATGTTCAACTCCTAATTATTAGGAAGTGGGCAGATTTTAGTGAGTTAGTAGCGTCTGTTAGGAGTCCTAGTAGTCGTGAATTTGTGGGTTTTATACGTAACAGAAAAATCTTTGTAAAAGTCTATATATTGACTTATCCTGATTGCTATTGAAGATAAGAGAGTTGTGCAGTAATAAATTTGTCTTTTGTTGCTTATTTCAATCTGCTTTCTTCATAGTTCTATTTGTTATTTTCTATCAGTAGTATCAAGAGCCAGGTGTAATCCAAAAAACAAAAAACACATACGAGGGAGAGTTTACCCCGAAATTCATTATTCATCTATTGCTTCAGAGAGTAACTTTGTGCAAGCAGCCATCCCTCCGCGTTTTGATGGTCACTATGACCATTGGAGTATTCTGATGGAAAAACTTTTTACAATCAAAAGAGTATAGGCCAATTGTTGAGGATGGAATCAGCGCTCCAGCGAAAGGCGAAGCTTTGACAAATGCTCAAAAGATAGAGTTTGAAGGAAGAAAGCTTAAAGATTTGAAGGCCAAAAATTACCTCTTTCAGGCTATTGAACACCCTTTCTTGGAAACTATTCTTTGCAAAGAAACTTCCAAAGATATATGGGATTCCATCAAAAAGAAGTATCAAGGTACTATAAGAGTGAAGTGAGCACAACTTCAAGCCTTGAGAAGGGACTTCGAAACTTTGCAGATGAAGGAGGGTGAAACTGTCACTAGCTATTGCGCTAGAACCATGGAGATAAGCGACAAGATGCGATTTCATGGAGGGAAAATGAACGATGTCACAATTTTTGAAAATATATTGCGTTCCCTGTCACCGAATATGATTATGTTGTATGCTCTATTGAGGAGTCAAAAGACATAGATGCCTTGTCACTTGACGAATTGCAAAGTTCCCTGTTGGTACATAAGCAAAAGATGAACCAAAGTTCAATTTTTGAGGAGAAGGCATTGAAGGCTTATACTTTTATTTCACCCTATTCTACAGGAAGGGGTAGAGGTAAAGGAAGAGGGAGAGGAGATCAAGAGAATAGAGATGGTCGCAACAAAGATTGCAACAGGAATTTTAGAGCCAATGATGACTGTGACAAAGGCAGAGGAAAAGATTTTGACAAATCTAAGGTAGAATGTTATCGCTGCCATAAATTTGGCCATTAACATTCTGAATGCCGTACTAGGTTTCCTAGTGAGAAAGAAGAAAAGTCAAATTTTGATGAGAACAATGAAGGAGAAACCTTGTTAATGGCAGTCCATGTTGAAAATGAGCCTGAGGAGCAAGCTATTTGGTATGTGGATACTGGCTGCAGTAACCACATGACTAGAAGTAAGTCTTCTTTCTCTTATTTAAATGAAAGTTTCTATTTGACGGTTGGATTTGGTGATCTCTCCACTGTGAATGTAATGGTGAAGGGCAATATCAATTTTAGAATCAAGAATGGGTGTGTGGAAACAATATCTAATGTGTTTTATGTTCCTGCTTTAAAAAATAATTTATTGAGTGTTGGTCAATTGTTAGAAAAAGGATATGTCATCACCCTTAGGAACGATTCTTGTGAGATTTATGATCCTTCCGAAGGAGTTATCGCTATTGTGAAAATGAGCAGGTTGTTCCCTTTGAAGATTGAAAATGTTCCATCTTGTTTTATGGCGGAAGTGAAAGACCCTTCATGGTTGTGACATTTTCGCTATGGTCATCTAAATTTTGGTGGTTTGAATATCCTTCGGAAGAAAAATATGGTGACGGGCCTTCCTAAAATTGTTGCTCCTTCTCAAGTCTGTGAAGAATGTGTTGTTGGCAAACAACACCAGTCTCAATTTACGAAAGGCAAGTCATGGAAAGCAAAAGAGATGTTGGAATTGGTTCAATCAGACATTTGTGGGCCAATAACACCATTCTCTTAAGGAGGAAAAAAAGTATTTTATTACCTTTATTGATGATTATTCACGAAAGACATGGGTATATTTTTTGTAGGAA